ACGGATGGTGTCTTGCGTTGTCGGGGACTGGCTCTCTGTTGCCAGGGCAACGGGGCTCTCGGCAGATGGCGGAAGTAGACTTCCATTCTGAGGTGAGAATCAGTGACGACAGGGTTTTAGAAAACTGTGAGTTTAGATCATCTCTTCCTGCTATGACTCAGCGGTCACCCACAGATGCAAAGTGGTTGGCTTAAAGGTTGAAAATAAGTGCTTTTAGAGTTTGTTCTGAAAACTGTGCTTGTTATAAAGTTTGGTGCAGCATCAGAATGACTCACTGGATTCTCCACAACATGATACCCCAGAGCTACCCAGCTGCCTAAATTGCTGCATGAATAATGTACCTGCAACATCACCCACACTTTTGTAAATATCCTGTTTTGTGCCTACCTCGGAAAGCTTTTTGCTCTGTTGTTGGCTGATGACGGTTCTCTCCAAGTCATGCTGCAGTTTGTAGATCTCCTCTTCCTCTTTAGTCAACTTATCTGCGAAGGACAACAGCAGCACAGGAGAATTAGAGCATGACCAGCATCTACACAGACTGACATCAGGGCAATGTGTGATAAGATGTGACACGTGATTGGAAAATGAAAGATAACTGGCTGATGTGACAAGTGGAGCATGAAGTGGTGTATATGCACTTGTTGTTATACTCACTCAGGGTCTCGTAGTATTTGACCTTGTCCCTCTTCCCGCCGAACAGCGCCGCAGCAGCTTTCTTGAAGAAGCTCTTGGCGGGACTAGAGACGTGGAAATCTGGTGCTGAGTGGCAGCAGCTAGCCGGCAGACGCTCTGGACTGAAGCCCTGTAGAAAAAAGAAAAAAATTGAAAGTGGGTCAGTGTGCGGCTGGCGGGAAGGGGGTCACTGTTAAACTCCTACACAGTGACATTTGCAGAGAGACAGGCAAGAGTGTAAGAGACAGACAGAGAGGTGGCGGCGGCGGCGGCGGCTAACCTGTGTGAAGAAGTCGTGTCTCAGAATGTGCTCCAGATTGGGTCTGTCCTCGGGGATCTTGGCCAGCAGGCTGGCGATTAGCTGCTTTGCCTGAGGCGACAAGGACGAGGGAAGAGAGTAACGCGCCTCTCTGATACACCTGTATGTCTCCTTCAGGTTGGTCGTTTCGAAGGGTGGTCTGCCCAACAGCATCGTGTACCTGGAGCGGGATGGAGCGCAGAGAGTGAGTTGATTTGATCTCGAAAAATGTGCTAATAAGTGACTTGAGATAAGACTGTGGATGAAATCTAATGCCAGTGTGCATCTTAAGCTCTTCTACGTTAATAATTCATGATAATCGCTAATATTACTAGACCTTTTAAAGTTTTCTAATGATAGATTTACAGTATTCCTACTCACATTACACAGCCTAAGGCCCAGATGTCTGATTCACAGCCGTGGCCCTGCTTGTTGAGCACCTCGGGGGACAGGTAGTTGGGAGTTCCACAGATCGTCTTCCTCCTGTTTCCCGCTGGCTCCAACTTGGCAGCCAGACCAAAGTCCCCGACCTTCAGCTCCATCGACTCGCTCACAAAAAAGTTACCTGTGGGGAAGAAAAGGGAATGAGATGATGAGCACTTGATATTCAAGCCGGGATCAAAGGCTAAATATAGACCGAGATCCTCCTGAGATGAATTGATTGAAGGAAAACTAGTGGGAGAAACAGGTTGGTATCGAGAACTGATACCCCCCCCTCCGCCCCCCTGCACAGAATGCATCTGGGAAATTATGCACAACAGCTTGCAGAAAGAATCCCTTACCAAGTTTCAGGTCTCTGTGAAGGATTTCTTGTTCATGCAGGTACTTCAGCCCAGAGACAATCTGTCGCAGGTAATAACGCACCTCTGGCTCCGTAAGCACTTTGCGAGCCTTCAGGATGTGGGCTAACGACTGCGAAAGGACAAAACACAGAGGACGATTATTATAGAGCTTCTTTAAGCAACATAAAAACACATGTTTGGCTTTTTGAAGATAATCCTATTATAGTTGATGACTTTCTTTAATCTCACACAACTGTAGGTAGTTACACAGGTCATAAAACAAAGTTCTTACAGTGAGGGCACACTCTGAATACCAACTAAGTGCTGCCTCATTGACTTTGGGTGCATTGCAGGTGTTTTCCAAATTTGAAACACAGCAGTGGCAAAGAAGTACAGTCTTTAAAAATTTAGCAAAAATAAAGCACTTACTTTTCTGCTGCAGTATTCCAACAGGATGTAGATGTTCTCCTTATCCTCAAAATGGTGATAAAAGTGCACAATGTGTTTATGGTGCAGCGCTCTGTGCAGCTCGATTTCTCTGTCAATCTAACAGGAGGAGGGGAGAAAAGACAAAAACGGTCAGATTTGGAGACAATTCTGTACTTTCTGATATCCGGATCTACCAGTGCGCACCAGCACCGGAGCTGCGCGCTTACCTTCTCCCGCTGGTGAGGTTTGGAGACGCGCGCATGTGGGATGATTTTGGCTGCGTAAACTTTGCTGGTGGAGAGGTCGGTCATCTCATAGCATTTAGCAAAACCTCCCTGGAAAGAGGGGAAAAAAACAGTTAAAAGGCTGTTTTTTTCTTTAGGTGCGGTGGTAAAGCCCTGAAGTGGGAAAATAAAAGCTTTGCGCTACCTTTCCCAAAACTTTTCCACGGCAGTAGCACTTCCCCGTGGCAGGATCGGTGATTATCCTCGCCATCTCCGAGGGTGCACTGCGCTCGTCCATCCTCTTTCGGCGAGGCTCGCAGGACCTCTGCGTCGACTCGCACATGCTGCTGCTGCTATTGGTCTGTTGGGGCCCGATATTCCTCTGTACTTCCATGAGAGGTGGTTTTCTGATCCCGCACTCAGAATGCAGCCCGGAGAGTGCGCTCCGGAGGCTTTATAGTCTGGCAGCCTCCCCGCCCCGCTGTCTGCCGCCCTCTCTCTGACGTCAGGCAGCGAAACGAGAGAACGAGGTCTGCCTGGTATCGATTACCCTGCATGTACGTTCGTGTTGGTGATGGCACAGACATGAAATCAAAAAATGAACAAAGCAGCGTGTGGACTGGCGTGCTGGGAATCCTAGATGTGTTAATGTTGCATCACCAGTAGCCAATCCACCACTAGAATACTGATTTTCCTTAGTTTGCCTATCTTGTTTATTCATGGAAGACAAGCAGGTGACCTTTTTTGTTTTTTGCATTCTGGTGCAAAACATGTTTTATGGTGTTTGGATCACTGATGCATTGGGTCGATGGAACATCCACCATGCAGAGGAGAACCTTGATCTGTATTCCACTCAGGCTCACCTCATTCTGGTTTTGCAGCAACACTCAGTTTGGAGCTCTAGCACCCTCAGGTGGAGACTGTGGGAACTATTTAAGGTCTACTGCATGTCCAGACCTGTTCTGTCAAACTGCAGTTAAACACAGTCTGTATATTACCTCCCAGCCTGGCATGTGAGAATGTACTGTTTGGTTGAATGTGAGTGGAGCAGATGTAGAGGTGCCACCACACTGGAACATTTGCGTTCTATGTCTGTGAAGATTCTCAGTCATCCAGGTCATGGTTATTCTAGTAGATT